TTTAACAGTTGATAAAAAGACCAATTTACAGTTTTAATTGATTTGATTTTAAAAGCTGACACTTCTCGAAATGGTGGCTTCTATTTACCATAGACTTTGCAAATGATTTCTAAAGTTTTCTATCACCCACAAATTGAAGGACTTCCAGGTGGCTTTCTTTTAAGCCCTGAATCTGTGGCCTTGAAATTTTTAACTTACAGCAGTATTAATTTTCTATCCAGAAGAGCATCATTCAGGCGTAACATAGAAAGGGCTTGAAAGTTCTCTGTGTTTCAATTACAGATTCACCAGTCTTAGAAAATGTTCCAACAGCAAATGATGGGAACTAATATTATCTGAAAAATATGGTACTATTTAGAAACAATAAATAAAGCTCAGGTAATAATTTAAGATATTACTGCTGTCTTAAAAATGGGATTGTGTGCAATAATAGGTTATAGATAGGAACCTAAATTAATACTGGATTTTTATTTAAATTTTATAATTGGTATCAGGTTTTGTTATGAGTATTAACAAGTTAAACAACTTGTATTCTCAGGATCCATCTGTAATCCACATCTCTGTTGCTTCAAGTTTCTTCCTCATCATGAATTCTCCAGTATCCATTGCCAAGAGGACTGATATAACTGTTCATCACTCTTTTCTTTTGTTCCTAATAAAATTTTGGCAATTTTGGACCTTCATGCTTGTAAAAAAAAATGAAGTATTATAAGGACAGATTTCCCCTTGACGTTGCTATTATTTTAGTTATCTTCACTTTTTGACAATGTTTATTGTTTTAAAAAGTGATGATTAAAATTTTATGAAACCTAAACATATGAAAGTGAATTTATCCATTTTCTTTATTCTTGATAATTGACAACAAAAATAATAAACACTATCATAGTGAAATACATGACCAAGGCCTAGATACCTGACTACAACATCAGAATAAATATTTACAGATATTTTTATGGTGAGGAAATGAATGACAAAATGGAAAAAAATTCCTATGTGATGTGTTTCAACCTTGAAAAGGACTTCTTCAAAGTAAATAATAGGAAAACCTGGATTTTCATACCTGCAAAAAATCTGTGTCAAAAGGATTGTTTTTCCCTTGACACTGCTATTATTTTAACTTCACTCCTCAGCAATGTTTATTGTTTTAAAAAGTGATGTTTAGAATTTTAATAAAACCTAAACATATGAAAGTGAATTTATCCATTTTCTTTATTCTTGATAATTGACAACAAAAATAATAAACACTATTTATTTATTAGACTGTTTATTTACACTATTATATTGTTTGTTGGAATAGTTGGCAAAACACTGGCTAATTATCAATCAATTCAAACTTTATAAAACAATAAATAATAAGGTTTTCCTTATAGTTTGTTCATGGTATTATCAGAAATTCTTGCTTAGAATATTCCTGCCACATATTGTCCATTGCCCTGCTATTTACCTTGAGTTCCTTGATAAATTCCAAAGAAGAATCAGTAATATTATTGGTCCTGATCTGGCAGCTCAGCTTCAGTCACTTTCTAACCTCCATAAGGTTTCCTCTCTGTGTCTTTTCTATAAATACTTTCCAGTTAATTGTTCAGATGAGCCCTTCGCTATGGTAGCTAGAGTTTTTGAATTCAAATGCAGTACTAGACTAGTATCAAGATCTCATCAATTTACAGTTGAGCTGGCTAAATGTAGCCATCAATTTTATGCTAACAGATTTTTTTTTTTTGGACAAGCATGCATCCTGTCTACTCAGAGTTCTTCTTGAAGTGGGCATAGGAGATCCTGTTTCTTTTGTCATGATAACAATTTTTGATGCTTCTGAAAATAATTTGAAAAGATGTACATATATGGGCTTAAGTGAGTGGCTGTTCTTGAATTAGACATTCTTTCTCTTTTGCTTGGTTGATATCTTTTGCCATTATGTTTGAGCCATTTTATCCTTAGACCAGTGTTTCTCAAACTTTTTAAGCAACGGCACACCTAATAGCAAATGAAAATATCATGGCACACTGAGCAAAATTTTTAAAGTTTATACATTTAAATGTTATGAAATAAAATCATAGATTTAAAAATATATATATACAACTATGAACTTAAAGTTAGGATGCTTTAAATTCGTTGGAATTACAAGTTTTTTCCTTTTAATTAAACTATGAACTTAGTTTATTTCAATATTTCTATTCAACTATTTGTGCAGCTTATTTAGTGTGAAATATGTTCCTGGTGTTTTTTTGTTGCGATTACTTCAATGTTTGGTCGAATGTGTGATAAGCAGACTCTTCAGCACACTTAAGAGGATTGTGTGGCACAGTAGTGTGCTACTGCACAATGGTTCAGAATTAATGCTTTAGACCGAAGAGAACTCTCCTGTTTTTTGCAAAATATCACCTTTTCTGATATTAGTGATAACATACAATGAAATCAAAAGCACTTGATTAGCATGACATTTTGGACAAATTCAAAACCTCCAAATAAACATTTACAAATATTAACAAAATTAAACATATTTGCAAGGAATGAATCACAATAGATCTTAATTTTGTTTTCATTTAAAAGAATACATGCAAAATTTTAGAGTTATAAAATATTTATCAGCAGGAATTATTGAATAAATTTGTTTTTTTCTTTCTATTTTGTCTGATATACAGAATAGGTATTAAAATTCTAAACTAAATATTGACTTTATAGGTATCTCTTATTAGCATTATTAGTAATAGCTTTGATCATTTTAATATGTATTATATACTTATCTATGCTAATAATTCAGTAGTAGATTATCTTTGCTAAGCTGAGCAAGAAACTATGTTGTTCAGGATTGCTGCCATATATGGGCATGAGCTACCTAGTCTTCCCTTTCCAAAAGCCTCTCTGTGTCCTTGTAGGTGACAAATTATTTTCCGCCCTATAACCCTTCCCTCACAGATGACATGCTGCAAGCCTTTCACTCCTCTATCACTATTTCCATAGAGAGTGTTCAGATGAACTCCACTCCTTCATTACCCCTGTTCTAAACTTGACAGCTACAACCCACCATGTCATGCACCTTGTAGCAAACTACCCTCATTACTTTTGTATTCCTTTGTTGATATACATTCCACTCAAGCAACATTTTCCCGTGAACAACTGCCTTGTGGAACTGGCTCCCAAGAGGATACTTCCCCAATCCATATAATTTTAACCTGTTCAAGTCTAGGGTTAACTAATATCTTCCTCACATATCTATATAAGCTATGGCTCCAACTTTGTAACCTTCTAATTTGAGTGGCCCTAGAGCCTTATACAGGGTGAACATTATTGTAAACAAAAATAAAATAAAAACTTTGTCATCAAATTTGACTGTTTCATTCAATTTTGATGTGAATTCTAAATAATATCTTTTATAAACAAATGTGATTGCTATACTGTTTGTTCCACTTAGATTCTAAAATGGTCTCCTGCAAGCCTTCTGTTCAGCACTGAATTTCAGTAAAGATTGCACTTACCTTGGCAATGACACTGTATAATTATCCTTAAATACTGGAATTTTTCCAAAAGCATGTTCAGATGGCATTCGCCCACACTAAAGCAGAGATACAAGAAAGCAAAAAAAAAAATAGAGGATAGTCTTTAAGAAAAAAAGATAAATAAAATATTTCATCAAAAGATAAATATATAAGCAAGTTAAAAAATATATAAGAAAAAGGGGGATCACATCTCACTTCTGATTTAAAAAAAAAAATAAAAACTATGGAAAAGAAACATTTCTGCTTTAAAACTAAATAAACCAAAGATGAGAGAAATTGATCCAGCAGAGTGTATAGCTTTTTATCTTTTAGTCCCAGTGGAGTATCAATATAGCAGATCTGAGTTGATCTGCTCTGATCAGATGAACAGTGATGATATTTGAGCCTTGGCCTGCTATCACAGTGAGGTGACTGATCTGTTTTTTTTGATCTCTTATCAGTGTGTGTTCCACAGTTCTTTGATCCTCCCCACTCACCATTCACAAGTGATGTCAGTTCAAGTCTGGCATTTTTTATTTTACTGTCACTGATTTACTGGTCATATAACTTTGATTTTTTTTTTTTTTTTTTTTTGGTTCCTTTATCTTCTCTGAAATTCCAGCTTTTTGAAAGGTATTATCTTAGAAGTATTTATTTACGCAGTTTTAGTTTCTCAGAAGATAATGCCTGGCTTTTATTCAAGCAAAGTTTTAGAATGACTTGATTGCAAACTAAGGTTGCTTCTTAGATCAGGCTCACAAAGAGAGGAATTAGCATTTAAGTTATTGACCAAAAGAACAGGTTAAAGAAAAAAGGCAAAAAGGGTTAGGGGAAAGCTTTAGGTGAGATATTCACATGTGGATTTTTATTAGAGGCTAAGAAAGGAAGCAAGAAAGACAAAGAGATTAAGAAAACAGTAAGAAATTAAAGAAAATAACTGAAAAGAAGAGAATAAATAAAATAATAAATGAATGAAAATGTTTATAAAGTAAATAAAAATAAAAAGTAAAAGCAAAAGAAGAAAGTAAAAAATGACACTGGGTCAGGTGGAGAATAAGGGAAAGAAGGATAAAGAATGATAAAGAGAGAAAAAGGAAATAAAATGAAATAATGTGAGGAATTAGAAAAGTAGAGAAAGAAAGAAAAAAAGAAGGTATGAAAAAAATGAATAACAAAAAAAGGAAAAATGAAAGCAACTAAAAGGTGTAAAAGCAAATGAATGATAAAGAAAATAAAGGAGGTATAAAATTAATGATAGTAAAAAAAGAAAATAAAAGAATGTACAAAAATGGATGATGAAAAGGGAAGATAGAAAGAAAAGATAAAAAAAGGGAAAAAAATAGAAAGAACAAAGAAGATCATGGACAAAATGGAATAATGAAAAAGGAAAGAAAAGAAAAAATTTGTGAATAAATTAATGATAGGAAAAAAGAGTGAAGAAAGAGAAAATAAAATGTACAAAAACGAATGATAAAAAAATGAAAGAAAAATAAAAAGAAAGAAAGAAAATAAAATGTACAAAAATTAATGATAAAAAAGATGAAAGAAAAATAAAAAGAAAGAAAGAAAAGAAAATATACAAAAATGAATGATAAAAAATGAAAGAAAAAAAAAAAAAAAGAAAGAAAATAAAAATGTACAAAAAAAAATGATAAAAAAAGAAAAAAAGAAAATAAAAAGAAAGAAAGAAAATAAAATGTACAAAAATGAATGATAAAAAAGATGAAAGAAAAATAAAAAGAAAGAAAGAAAAGAAAATATACAAAAATGAATGATAAAAAAATGAAAGAAAAATAAAAAGAAAGAAAGAAAAGAAAATATACAAAGATGAATGATAAAAAAATGAAAGAAAAATAAAAAGAAAGAAAATAAAATGTACAAAAATGAATGATAAATAAATAAAATAAAAATAAAAAAGAAAGAAATGAAAATGTACAAAAATGAATAATAAAGAAATGAAAGAAAGATAAGAATGAAAGAAAAGAAGAGACAGAAAATGAATGATGAAAATGAAAGAAAAAAGAATGGACAGAAATGAATAAGAAAGATGGAATATAAAATGTGTACAATAACTGAATTATGTGAAAAAATTAAGGAAGAAAGATAAGGGAATATACAAAATTGAAGAATAAAAAAGAAAGAAAAAAAAAGAATAGACAAAAATGAATGATAAAAAAATGTATACAATAAAAAAATTGTAAGAAAAAAAAAGCAAACTAGATAATAAAAGAAAATACAAAAAATGAAGGATAGAAAAAAAATGGAAGAAAATAAAAGAATATCCAAAAAATGAATAATAGAAAAAAGAAGGCTAAATAATGTGAGGGTGAATGATGAAATAAAAAAGGTGTGAAGAAAATAAATGGAAATAATTGGGTAAGAAAATGAAAGTGTTGACCAATCAAAGCAGATATAAAACACGGCTTAAGTACAGATGAGTCAAATATTGAAAAGCATTTTTAATCCCAAATTTAGGAAAGTAAGAAAAGACATAGTATAAAAGTAAAAATAATGAAAGGAAGAAAAAGAAAGAAGACACTCAGAAAAATAAACTAATTTAAAGTAAAGAAAAGGGATATTAAAATAAAGAAAAAAAAAATGAAATGAAAGAAGAAATTCAAGAAAAAGGAATGGAAAGAAAATATTTAAAAAAATTGAAAAATAAAGAAAAATGAAAAAATTGTGAAACTATTTTCAAGTCAGAAAGGGGAAAACAGAATATACAGGAAGAAAAGGAAAGAAAAACAATAAGAAAGTTATCAAAATAGTGAAGGACAAGGAAACAGTGAAAGAATGAGTGAAAAAAGCACTCACATAAAAGAATGAATGAAATAAAGAATGAAAAATGTGGATAAAAAGAGTGAATATAAGAACAAAAGAAGTCAAATATAAATAAGAAAATATAAACAAAACAAATAAAAAAACCCAAAATGAACAGTATAAATTTAAAAAATTCAAAAGAATAAAATATTATATAAAATAAACGATCAAAGGAAGAAAATTATTAGGAAAGATTCCTTTTCATCTCTCCCCCACCATGATTCTTTTAAGTCATAAAAGCTAAAGGTGTAATAAATTTAATGATTAAAATTATACTTTTTTGAAAAAGATTTTAGTATCTTTAAGACAAAAATTTATGATTGTGGTCTCTAAGATGGCTGAAATAATGATATATTTTTCTCTGGAGCCAGAGATTTTTTTGAAGGCTGATGTTTTTTTTTTTTTTTTTTTAGAGCGGGTGAGAGAAGCAGACACACACTACTTCAAAGATTAGCACAACAATGTCTTCCAAACACCATTTTTCCTATCTGACCTTGTGTCATGCCAATTCCCTAGATGGAAACATTTGGCATTCCTTTTCCAAGCAGCCACTACTATTTTTAGTTGAAATTTATAAAATTTTTCTATTAAAACAATTTTTCAGCAAAATAGGTTTATTAAGTACAATAACTGTTATCATCTTTTCCAGTAATGATGGGGGTTTTCTTCCTAACCTTTTATTTGAAGTAGTATGGAATGTCAACATCTTGATTATATCATTATTCTCAGTTGGAGTTACAATGTGCTATTCATTTTAGTTGTTGCTGCTGTTGATAGTCCACAAATGATGTGGTTTCTATTATTTGCACTAGTTGTCGAAGACATATGGTCATTGCCAAGATCTTCAAGCTTCACTCATTCAAAACCATTTTTAACCATTCATCTGAGAAAGTGGTTGCATAGAACCAACATTTTAGATATTTTTTGAACAGATTTGGCACCATGCATGGCATCCATATGAAAGTCTTGGTTTGATGAGTCTATTTAAGAAAATGAATTGAGTTTTCAAGTTGATATTTTGGTCGTGTAGCAATTTGTGGTGTTAAGTGAAACTACTTCTGACACAGTTTATTCTATGTTCAATTTCCTTTTCTCCTTTAATAAATTGGTTATGAAAGCTAAACTTAATAAATATTGAAACTAATTTCTGATTGTGTTCACCTCTTGTTCTTCTACATTATTTGATTAACTTATCAACAGCTACTGATAAATTAATTCTTATTTTTTTTCTAAGTAAAAAGTTTATCTTACTATAATTTAAAAAAATTGCTGAACCCTAATAAAATGTTTGCTTTCATACTAATGCTCTTAGGAAAGGCATAAATCCATTTCTTTTTCCCTCAGCTATGATTTAATTAGTAGGGTAGCTTGGATCCTCTAGCCTTGAGTGGTAATTTACATGAAGGAAAACTCTTAGACAGAACCTTGGACAACTCTGTATTCTAAATAATTGAGAAGGCAATGAAAAACCACTTCATGGTCTTTCCCAGGACGTAATAGCAATTCACAGATATTAAAAAAGAGCAATTTGTGGAGAGTCATGCCACCTACACCCTGATGGGACATGGTATTAAAAACAAATGTATAAACTACTTGAAACTATTTAACAAAATATCCTGTAAGAAATTTCTTTTTCTGGAATAGCTAATATTTCATCAATATCATGTCATGTACTGACAGGGACAGTAACAACTTGCATTCTACTTAAAATAAAACAATTAAATTTAACAATTTTATGTAAAAAAAAATATTTTTACCAAAATTTTCAAAAAAAAAAAAAGAATTTAAAAAATAATTTAATTCATTTGTCAATAGGTCCTGGAATTTCATTAAATTCTGACAATTTGATTTTTGCAGGCATTTTCAAAATAATGTGTTTTTTAACACCAAAATGATACTAAAAATCCCTATACTAATTTTTGACCCAACAAAATTTTTAACCAAAATTTCGACCATGATAGAAAGTGTTTAAAAAATTTGATAAAATAATAGAAATATACTTTGGTCTTTCCTTTTAATAACATGAAGTTTGGGGCTGTTTTTCATCATGTGATGCTCTTTTTAGAAATTTTTTTGATTTTTTTTAGCATTGATGCACTTAGTGAGGGTCTCACATACACAAACATACACACACCAGTAATAACTTGCTAACTTGGGATGGCATTGAGCATCAAATGTAGTGAACCCAGTGAGAATCACATTCATTACAATAATAATGGTCAATGAGACTAGCTTGTTAACCATTGCTCCATAGTGAGAACACTTTAGCCTTGGATGGCACAGCTAGAAATGTGGTGAACTCAATGAGAATCACATTCACTCTAGTAATAATGGTCAATGAGATTAGCATGCTAACAACTGCTCCATAATGAGAACCCTTTAGCTTAGGATGGCATTGAGCTACAAATGTTGCGTGATCAGTAAGAATCAGATTCACTCTATTTCAATAAGACTAGCATTGCTCCATAGTGAATAGTTCTTTTGCTTATGTTGGTATTGAGCTATATGTGTTGTGCACATAGTGCGGATCACACTCACTTTAGTAATAATGGTTGATGGGACTCATGTGCTAGTCTTTGCCTCACATCGAGAAGTATTTTAGCAAAGTGCTACAATGATAATGCACTCAGTGAAGTTCCTACTCAGTAATATTGGTTCATGTGACTAACTTACTTACCACTACTCAATAGTATTTTAACTATAAAAAAAATTGAAAAAGATGTTACTTTAGCTAAGTATCTTGTGGAATTGTACTATCAATAACTTACAAAGTCTCTTTCATGAGTGTCATGATCAAGTAAGTGCAGTGAAAATGTTTTCTAATTTTGCATTTGTATGTTCAGCATAGTCAGGTATTTTCTGTTTAAATAAAATATATTGGCTTCTTTGCACTTCTTTAAAAATGTAAGCTCTTCATTTGTATAACTTTTAACTGTCTCACATCCACTTAACTGAAAGTGGATTGCTGTAATATTAACTTAAATATGAAACAGTAAAATAAAATGCAACACTAAATAGGCTGATTAAATAATAGCATTTAAAAAAAGAAAAATCCAGTAGCATGTTTCCCAGATGTTAACTGAAGCAGAACCAATGTTCACTTGCAAGTGAAAATGATTGGTTGAAGAGAAGAAGGTAGATTTATTTAAAGCTCAACGTCTTTCCTGTCAATCATCTAGCAGCTGACATTTGTTCAGTGTCTGCTTCCAATAGAAACAGGTATCATTTCAAAAACATCTTTCTACTTGTAAAAAAATTATCTATGTTTTCTACTAGAAACATATCAGTAGTACACAAGTTTATGAATGGCAACAGAATTTCTAAAATTATTTTGATATCTTAACAGGATGGCAAACATTTTATTTTAAATTGTTTCCAAAATTCTTTTTTTTTTGTATATTCAGTCAGTTAAGTGCCATGCATGATATACACTTAGGCAATCAGATATCTTTTGATACATTACTGACGAGACAGATTTTTTTCCCTGTCATTTCTTTCTGCAATAGACCAGTTGCCATCCAAGGCTATAGAACCTGGTCTGTCCTGCTATTTACCCATAGCTGGGGAGAGAAGAGGATTCATACCTTTCCTAAGAGTATTAGCACATAAGTGAATGTAATGGATTCAACTGGAATTCAAACTCAGCTTCCTGATTACTCAATCCAAGCTGCTATGCATTACTCTACCTTGTCTTTCAGCACACTAAAGCCATTAAGATGCAAGGGGTTACTGAGAGTGTAAGTAAATGAAAAATCATTAGTCAGTAGAAAGGACAATAAAAGAACAGGGTTCAGGAAGACAGAAGATGGTCATTGATGTTGCATTTTAATTTGTTAAGCTCTTAGGTGGCAGGTAAGCAAGAAACCGAAATAGAATTCCACAGGAAAGAATCCGGTCTGTCCTGTTATTTACCCATAGATGGGGGAAAGAAGAGGATTTATACATTTCCCAATGTTATTAGCATGTAAGTGAATATAATGGATTCGATTGGAATTTGAACTCAGCTATCCGATTCTTCTATCTGGGCTGCTATCCATTACTCCACCATGCCTCCCCTATAATCCATGCACATCCTAAATAAGAAAGAGGTGATATTGAATGTAATATAAAAGTTGTTTCATTTTCATGAAAATAGAAAACATTTCTACTTTCTTTCCCAAGAAGCAATGCCAATAATCCATCAGTTATGTGCCATACGTGATACACGCTTTGGCGATCATATATCTTTCAATACATGACCAGTTACAATCCAAGGCTATAGAATCCGGTCTGTTCTGCTATTTACCCATAGGTGGGGGAAGAAGAAGAGGATTCATACCTTTCCCAAGGGTATTAGCACATAAGTAAATGTAATGGAATTGGGACTTGGCTCTTTGATTCCTCAATCTGAGGTGTGACAAAATCCATAGGCTATAGAGAAATGGTAAAATTATAATTGCAGTGAATATAATTCCAAATCCTACAGAACTGGTTTGGAATTCAGTCCGAAATTACCCAAACTGAATTGGTGAGAGGGGAGGTTGAACTTAACAGGCTGCAATCATGACCATGATGAATTGTATTTTTTCTTTTTTTTATAATTATTTTCACCTTGTACAAGGTCCAAGAGCCACTCTAAATAGAGGGTTACAGAGTAAGAGGCACATTTTATGTGTAATATATGGGGAAGATAACAGTTGACTCTAGTCTTGAACAGGTTAACATTGCAGTGCTTGGGGAAGCATCCTTGGTTCCACAAAGCATTTTTAAATTTTGACATAAGACTGAAAAAAAATTTTGAAAAACAGGCAGTACATGAACAGCAGTATATATAAAAGAGAGATAGAGATAGATAGATGCTTGGAGAATCTTGACTTCTCTATTGCTGTTCATCGGCTGCCTGTTTTTGAATTTTTTTTTAATATATGTGTCTGTGTATGCATATTTGTCTCAAATCAAGGCTTAGAACAGAAATTTAAAGAAAAATAAAGAAATAAAAATGGTAACATGAAAAAAATGAGAAAGCATTTAAAAGAATAAAAAAAAAAAAGATTGTCAAACACAGACATTAAGACCGGAAAAGTTTTTGGTGGATTCTTGACTGAAGGTGTTAGTGACAGCAAATATCAATGGCATTTTTGTGTGTGGGGAGAGTGGAAATTTGAGTTTTCTTTGGCCGAGACAAGGAACTATCCTACTAATATGAAAGTGGAATAGGGATCACCATTCGTTTTTTTGTCATTTTTTTTCGCATTTGAATGTAAATTTGTAGGTGTAAGCGTTCTGAAAGCAAAGAAAAATCACTGTAAGCACAGACTCAAATATCGGGGGCAGAAAGAAATGCTGAAAACTCAATTCGCCGGTACTATCTCGAATCACAATGCATGTAACCAGTCAGAAAATTAACTAACTAACTGACTGACTGACTGACTAACAAGCCCGAATTTTCCGTCTCCGAATCAAGAACACCAACTGTTTTTATCGGCAGAACCTATTTTTTTCATTCGTCAACAGCTGGGATAGGATGGTCCATAATTTGCATATCGTAATGCTGTTATAGCGACGGACTTGTTTCTTTTTCGTCACTTTTTCCGTCGTAGAATACACGCTGTCGCTTGGTTTGACGAGGTAAGTTGCCGTTTTCTTCACTATAAGATTTTTGCTGACTACTTTTTGGTAATGTTTCTTCGGCAGATCACACACAAAACATGAACTTTTTTCCGGGGTACCTGACTATCTCTTTCACTACAAAATTATGCCTAGATTCTAGTTTTATGTAATTCCATATACTCTGAAAGTAGTTTTATATTAAATTTAATAAGTTTTTGTACTAGAGAGATACAGGTAATCATGCTAGTCATATAATGCTCACACAGATTTAAGATTTCACATAAAGATAATGTTTTGTACTTTCTGTCCATGTATAAAAGAAACCTGATCATTACTTACAAAAAATATATAAATGCAGGAGTTTTTGATATTTTGAATAATATCTTTACTGAGCACAAAACACCTGGTAAGTAATCCATGAATGTAGGTGTTGCTGTGATGATTGCTACATGACTGCGCTTTCTGAAATGCTCTATTTGTGGCAAATTATGTCAACACCTGACAAACTTTCAGATTCTGGAGATTTTTGGTAAAAGGTACACAACCTGTATGTCCATATATATAATAAAAATATAGTTTTAGTATGCTATATTTATGGGTGAAAGTACTCACTGTCAGAGATAGTGTATGTAAGTATAAAAGTGGAAACTGAGGTCAACATCCAGTAACAACTGTTTGTTTCATGCTTGAACATTCATTGCATTCAAGTATGAAATAGACTGTTACCATTCACTATATATATATATATATATATATATATATATATATATATATATATATATATATATATATATATGTTAGCTGTTATTGATTTGAAAATTGGGATTGTTGTGTTAAGTTCATATTCCAACCATTACATTCACTTTCACCCAAATAAATCTTCTCTCTCCACTTAGGTCTTAACAGCAGGAAAGTCTTGGCTCTCTCGGCAAAATATTGAAAATCAAAACATGAAACCAGTGTAGGAGGACAGCTTTGAATTCAAAACCAAGGGCTTGCTTACTTTCTATGTAAAAATCATAATGAGCAACAATATGCATGGTGAGTTTGTGTACCCTATACTCCTCAAGGAAGTCTACAGAGTTAATATAAGATACATATGTTAAATTCAAAATTGGTTTGGCATGGGACTAGCAACTCCACCCTGTGGAAATGTACTTGCTATAGAAAGTAACAACAGCAACACCAAATGTGATGAAGCTGTGGCCTGAAACTCCACAGAGAAGTTTACAGGTTTAACATAAGTAGTACAGATTACTGCATTTAAGATAGAGATTTTGTTGTCTCTGTATTTGAATAAGATAAAGAATGTGATTTCTTTTAAATGTGATTTTATGGAAATTTTTTTATTGAAAGACAAAGTGAGAAAAATATATATATATATATATATATATATATATATATATATATATATATATATATAGTCGTTTCATTCGTGAAGTTAAAAAAATATATCCAAGAATTTAATTTCATCTTTGCTGATTGCTTCCTTCAAGATGATGGCATTAATGACTACATTCACTGTCAATGTGCAGGTTCAGGATGAGAAGCTTCCAGTTTGATGAAAACCTGCTTCCATCATCCATACCCTATCACCATTTAGCTTTGCAAAAGTTGGTTTGAGGTGAAAGAAAATCAGAGTAGAAGAAAGTGCTGATGGTGTTAATTTGTTTAAGGTGGACCTCAACTTTCCAGAAAGTGACCCAAACTTGATTTCATGACCTTCCTCTGTAGCACATATGGAGACATGCAAAATTCATTTATGAAACTGCAAAGAACTGCCACTGACTCTGTTATAATTTTGAGTGGCACCTTCTGTAGTATGTCCATAATGCATAGCCCACTTCATCTGCTGGTTCAACCATTGAGATCTGTTGTAATTGTTATCCACTTGTTCCACTGTTATGGTCTTTGGTGTTGTTTACACTTAGTTTGGATTCTTGTCTTTGACTTTATTGCGAAGGCTGGCCCTACCAGATGTTTAGAACTCCCAATGAAATTGCTGTCAGAGTCATTTCACCTATATAGGATGCGATGGATAAATTGTCATCTAAATTATGCAAAAAGAAAAATAATGCTAACATCTTATTTTAATAGATATATTTACCAAAATTACAGAAAAATATCTTGAAATGCAAAATAGTAAATTTATTCAAGAAAATCGCCATTGGTTTCAACCACGGTCTCTAGATCACTTCAGAATCTCCTGCAACTCTTCTGGATGGTCTCCTTGTTTAAGTTGGTGAATGCTGTCATAATCCTTGCCTTCAGTTCATCTTTGATGTTACAAGGAGTTTTGTTGCTCTCTTGCTCAACTGCATCTCACATATAATAATCAAGGGCTTTTCAGTCTGGGGAGTTAGGTGGCCAGATGTATGAGGTAATGTGGTGACAGAAATTGTCTGACAGCCATGACTGGGTTCTCCTGCTTGTGTGGCATGGTGCAGAGTTCAGTTGCCAGACATAGGGTCTTCCAGCCTCTTGATCCCACTACCTCCTCCAAGGCACTTGTTGTAAGCCTCTGGAAGATGAATGGAGGTATAACATCACCATCACTAGAGATATTTCCAAACACTTTTGTAATCACAATTAGACTCATCCGACTCTTTCCAAGTCCTCTGCACAGTCCTCAGATTGACACCCAAACAACTGAAATGTTCATATTGGAGTTTTGGGCCAAAATTACAAGCAGTACATCATGCCATTTCCAACTTCTTGCCTGAGTGAATTGTGTCATGGTGTTCTTTTTCTCACAGATAGTGCCCAACTGTGACCCTATTATACTATGCAGCTGACAAAATCAAAAACAAACAATGCGCACATGCAAAATTAAAAATATAACATGGCAACAATTTCACATTGCACCCTGTGTGTGTATATATATATATATATATATATATATATATATATATATATATATATTATATATTTATTTGGATATAGTATTTGAGTTTGTGACCCTGGGTTTCAAATTTATTGATGGATTGATTAATTTTTTTAAAAAATTTGGGTTTATATAGATTGCGTGTATAGAATCCTGGAGAGAAAGGACACAGGATTATACAGAGATGACGGTCTTATCTTAATAAGGGAATCCAATGGCCCCAAAGTAGACAAATTCAAGAAGATAACAGTGAACGCCCTAAAAAATATTGGATTCAAAATAGAGATAAATACAGGCACAACAATAGTAAACTTCCTTGACGTCACTCTTAACCTGACCAACAACACATATGAACCATACAAAAAAGAAAATGACACCCCACTTACATACACACATCCTCCAACCAACCACCTTCTATCATCAAACAAATACCAAAATCAATCAGCCGCAGACTATCTGAGAACTCATCTGACATAGACATTTTCAATAGCAAAAAAGCACCATGCAACGAAGCACTAAAAGCAAGTAGTTACACACATCTACAATATATACCTCCACAGCCAAAACGCAGAAACAGAAAGAGAAACATTATCTGGTTTAATCCACCATATAAAAAAACTGTTAAAACGAACATAGGCAAAATATTCCTAAACTTATTAGAAAAACACTTCACTGAAGAAAACAAATTAAAAAAAAATATTTAACAAAATAACGTAAATATCAGTTACAGCTGTACAAAAATATAACAGAAATAATCAAAGCCACCACAAAAAAAAATGACAACCTACAAAAATGAAACCAAGGATCCAATATGCAACTGCAGAAACAGAACAACGTGTCCACTCCAAATTGCCAACTTACGAACACAATATACAAGGCCAAGGTAAGTACAAACAACAACACTATGCACTACATCGGTGCCACCGAAGGTCCATTCAAGATGAGGAATAACAATCACAACCTTTCATTCAACAACAGGAAATATTCGAACAGCACAACACTTTCTACATACATATGGCAGCAAAAAGACAAAAATATCACACCAACAATAAGTTGGGAAATATTGAAAAAAGCCCCTGCCTACAACAACATTACAAAAAAATGCCTACACGAAAAAGTAGCAATAATATCACACAAACCACAAAAGAACTTACTAAACAAAAAATCAGAGATAATCTCTAAATGTAGGCATGAGAACAAGTACCTATTATCCAAATTCATACCAAACGGAGGAAATAGACAAACCACCAACAATCACAATTTAATTTCAAGATACCATCAAAATAATTGCATCTATCATTATTATCATTGCACCACCATTAGTAATCACTTTTACCACTTTACAATAACTATTAACTAATAATATTATCATTACCACCAACACCCAGCACCATCACTC